TGCCTTGGTGGCTTCGTCTATTGATTTGTCGTCTTTCTGTCTGAGTCCTAAGTCGTCTAATTTTTATCTTTGGCATTCTCGTCTTGGTCATGTCTCTGGTTCTCGTTTGAAATATTTAGTTTCTACAGGAGCTTTAGGCAATTTCAATTGTCATGACATTTCAGATTGTAGTGGGTGTAAACTTGCCAAATTTTCTGCATTACCTTTTACTAGAAGTTCCTCTATTTCTTTAGCACCTTTTGATTTAATTCACTCTGATGTATGGGGCCCAGCTCCTATTTCTAGTAAAGGGGGCTCTAGATATTATGTTTCATTTATTGATGACTACTCTCGTTATTGTTGGATTTATCTTATGAAACGCCGCTCTGATTTCTTTACTATCTTTCAAAATTTTCGCGCCCTTGTTCATACACAATTTTCTACTGTCATTAAATGTTTTCGGTGTGACTTGGGTGGTGAATATACCTCTCATGCTTTCACTGACTTACTTGCTTCAGATGGTACCATACACCAATTCTCTTGCACTGCCACTCCTGAACAAAACGGTGTTGCCGAAAGGAAACATCGACATATTGTTGAAACTGCCAGGTCTATGTTGCTTTCTGCTGATGTCCCAAAAGTTTTTTGGGGCGAAGCAGTTCTGACTGCCAATCATGTGATTAATCGTATTCCCACATCTCTCACCTCTGGTATGTCTCCGTTTGAAAGATTGTATGGTAATAGTCCTGATTATTTCTCATTGAAAGTGTTTGGTTGTACTTGTTTTGTTCTTCGTCCTCCTGTTGAACATACAAAATTATCTGCTCGCTCTGCTATGTGTGTTTTTCTTGGTTATGGCGAAGGACAAAAAGGTTATCGTTGTTATGATCCTAGTGCACAAAAATTGTATGTCTCTCGTCATGTGGTTTTTCTTGAGCATATTCCTTTTTTCTCCATTCCTACTAATTCTCCTACTTTATCGAATTCTGAGCTCATGTATATCGATCCTTTTTCACCTAGTAATGATGATTTCTCTTATTCTGACAATGTTAATATTTCTCCTGTTTCTAGTTCCCCTTCTAATCCTTGTATTACTTCTCCTCCTATTACTCAAGTGTATTCTCGCAGGAAACATGTCATCAGTTCTGACACTAATAATCCTTCTTCTCCTTTAGTGCCTGCTTCAACTTCTGTGGATGTGGATCCAATAGCACCTCGTTATCCTTCGCGCACTCATAAGCCCCCTCATCGGTTTGGTTATTCTTCTACTGATTTTAGTTATTCTTGTTATTCTCATGATTTCTCTTCTTTCTTATCTTCTATACATACTATCTCTGAACCCACCTCCTACAAGGAGGCTATATGTAATCCTCTTTGGCAACAGGCTATGAATGAAGAACTTTCTGCTCTGCATAAAACTGGCACATGGGATTTGGTTCCTCTTCCTCCTGGTAAACATGCAGTTGGATGTCGATGGGTTTATAAAATTAAGACTAAGTCTGATGGTTCTCTTGAGAGATATAAGGCTCGTTTGGTTGCTAAGGGATTTACACAGGAATATGGCCTTGATTATGAAGAGACCTTTGCTCCAGTGGCCAAGATGACTTCTGTTCGTACTTTACTTGCTGTTGCCTCAGTTCATCAATGGAGTTTATCACAGATGGATGTTAAAAATGCCTTTTTGAATGGGGATCTCTTCGAAGAGGTGTATATGGTTCCCCCTCCAGGTGTTCTTCATAATCCCGGGGGGGTGTGTCGTTTACGGAAAGCTTTGTATGGTCTTAAACAAGCTCCTCGTGCTTGGTTTGAGAAATTCTCTGCTGTTATTGGTTCTCTTGGTTTTCAATCAAGTGCTCATGATCCTGCCTTGTTTGTTCGTTCTACCTCTGTTGGTCGTATCCTTCTCCTCCTTTATGTTGATGACATGATTCTTACGGGTGATGATTTGGATGGTATCACCCAATTAAAATTGGCTTTACATGATCGATTTGAGATGAAGGATTTAGGTCCCTTACGTTATTTCCTTGGCATTGAAGTTGCATCTTCCCCTAAAGGTTATCTTCTTTCTCAGTCTAAGTATGCCGCTGACGTTCTTCAAAAAGCTCGTATTACAGATACTAGAGTGGCTGATACGCCTCTTGAGCTCAATGTGCGTTATTCTCCATCTGATGGTACCCCTTTGGATGATCCTACTCTTTATCGCACTATTGTTGGGAGCTTGGTTTATCTCACTATTACTCGCCCTGATATTGCCTATGCTGTTCATATTGTTAGTCAGTTTGTCTCTTCTCCCACTACTCTTCACTGGGCTGCTGTGATTCGTATTTTACGCTATCTTCGAGGGACATTGTTTCAAAGCTTATTGCTTCCTTCCACCTCCACTTTGGAGCTTCGAGCCTTTTCTGATGCTAGTTGGGCTAGCGATCCTTTTGATCGGAAATCTACTACTGGTTATTGCATTTTTCTTGGTGATTCTCTTATCTCCTGGAAGAGTAAGAAACAATCAGTTGTTTCTCGTTCTTCTGCTGAGGCTGAGTATCGTGCTATGGCCTCTACTGCTGCTGAAATTGTTTGGCTTCGGTGGTTGCTTCAAGATATGGGTGTTTCTCTCTCTATGCCTACTCTTATGTATTGTGATAATAAAAGTGCCATTCAAATTGCTCACAACTCTGTCTTTCATGAGCGCACAAAGCACATCGAGTTGGACTGTCACTTTGTTCGCCATCATTTCCAGCAAGGCACTATCTCTCTTCCTTTTGTCTCCTCCACCATGCAATTGGCCGACTTCTTCACCAAGTCTCACACTCTTGCTCGCTTCCGCTTTCTTCTTAGCAAACTCTCGATGCTTAATACTGTAACATTGTGAGTTTGACAGGGGGTGTGACAATTGTATAGCCAATATTAATATATATTTGAGTCTGTGTCTTTTAAGGGTAGTTAGGTCTTTTACTTATCTAGGGCATCTTTATATGCCTATATATTGTAAGCTTACAGCTGCTGTATATTAATTAATTGTTTTGTGAATATATTGGCATTCTCTGCTTCTGCTTGAATTGTTCACAACAATCACTCAATCATAATTAACATATTGGACAGCAATCCATAAATTAAATATTAAGCACGAGTGCCAATGGCCCTGTGTCCAGCCACTTCTATGCTTAACTTTTATGCATAGACTCAATTATGATGATTCATGTATGTGATTAGTTAATGCATCTTATTTTTGCAGGTCCTTGACATGATATTGTTAAGCAAGCAGCAGGCAAGATCTGCAATCTGCATTTTTTTATAGCCTCAGTGTTTCCAAAATGTAGAAAAATGGTGTGTTGCAGACTTGATGAATTGGACTGTTCCCAAGCAGAACGACATCCAGCACAATTGTCATTCTTGGATCTGAGATGCCGTCATTGATTAGTTACAACAGTTTGTTAATTTTAATCTGCGTTTGACTATTCCCTGGGAGATAACTGGAATTTGACATCCATTTCAGTTTTGAAATTTTGTTTAGTGGTCACAGAGTTTTACCAGAAAATTCTTCCTTCAATGATATGCTGGCAAGTTTACTCGAAAGAAATAAAAATAAATGACTGTATAGCAACCAAGACCATATGATCACAGACTTAAAACCTTTTTTAGTCTCTAATAGTTCCTCTAACAGAGACAGTCAGCATATGCTTACTGCTTAAAGAAAATCAAGTCTTCTTTTGAATGCCATTGATCGTTGATTATTTATTGTCTCTCTTGAGACAATTGGAATCTTGACAGCCTTGACATTTGATATAATCTGCCCAAATCCCCTGTGACAACAATGATAGTTTTGCATACTCCTGTGAGTTTACCTCTCAGGTTTGATTTCGGGAAATTAGAGTTAATTCACTTTTCATTATCTTGTAATTAGACAATAAGGGTAAGTTCATTTTTTCCATGCACAGGATGATAATCGGAATATGGAGGATGGAAATCGTGTTAGTTTCAGTACTACAAAAATTCATGATCAGTTCCCAAAGTGAATGCTTTCGTAGAAGGATGAGACTAGTTGATAATTTGAGCAAAAGAGTATATCATCATTATGTATCTGAATTTGATCTCAGAGGATGTATTTGTATACAAACATGTTTTTCATGTACAAAATCAAAAAATCTAAGATATATGTATCTAGTGGTTTAGGATGTTGAGGAGGGAGACTCTTGTTTTGATAATTTGCCTAAATACGCACTCAACTCCTTCTTCTTGGCCTTGAACGCATGACTCCAGCTGCTCGAGCTGGTTCTGCGCATTATCTACACTTTTGTTTTGAGATTTGCTTGTCTTGTGTCCAATGAGAGAGTTCAATGCAGCATCCACTTGTGTAAATTCATTTGCTTCTGTTTCTTCTTCACACGCAACTTTTTTTGAGTGCATCATCTTGGAGACCAAGGACCTGCTGCTTGGCTGTGATTTTGGCCCAGAGATGAAGGAAAGAAGTGACTCAAACACTGCAAGAGTGACTGCTTCAACTTCTCTCAATGTGCTAACAACGGCAATTGACTCGTTGTCCTTGTTGAGGTATGAGAAATTGGATCCCTTAAGATTCTTCATAGCCCTTTGGATTGCCTTTTTCACCGTCTTCCTGGAGGTTAAGTATTTCCTGACCTCACCGGTGAGTGCTGCAGATTCATCTCCTCGTGTTCTTCGTATGATTGATTGAAGATCTTGTACGCATTCCTTGGTTTGCAAGATAGCATCCTTGGCGCTGCTGCAAACATCCAAGAGTCTGAGAGAGCTATCTAATAGGTCATTAGCCCATTTCTCATTCTGCTCTTGTGCTAAGGCTTGTTGAGTGAGGGGCAACTGAAGCAACCTGTCAACACAATCATGCAAATCTTGGAGACCGCTTAGTTTGTGGCTTATTGATGATGAAGATGTGGAGGTGGCCTCAGAAGACCTCAGCCTACACAAACATTTGTCAACTTCTTGAACGATTGGGTGTGGCCTTGAAGGGAAGCTGTTAGAGCGAGTGTGGAAAGCCATTTCTTCTTTGTGTATTGTGAAAAGATAGAACAGAAGACTTAGAAAGTTGTGGTTGATGTACAATTCAGAGTGCTTAATATATAGTGTTGATTGAAGAGGGGGACATGGAATCTCATCCGCTTCAATCATCAGTGAGAGAGGTAACATGATTTCGATTGGATCTATATGTTCCCTAGCTAATGTTTACGCATTGTCTCCTCCCACACCAGCATTCCAACTCATGAAGTTATTAATTTAGCACATTATAATGCTACAACCATTTAATCACAATTAATATGTGATTAGTTAATTCCTCTTGTTTTGCAGGTCCTTCACATGATTTTTTGCCAAGGAGGAGGCATGATCTGCAAATATGCAATATTCTGTATTAAAAAGTCACCATCCATTGTGTTTCTATAATGTAGAAAAATTGAAAGTTGCTGGTTATTTAGCAAACCAGAAAGCATTGCAATGTTTCCATCATATAGATGAATTGCAATGTTCCGCCAAACAGAAAGAAAACCAGCATAATTAATTAGTCCCAATCTGTGTTTAATATTTCCTGGGAGATAATTAGAGGTTGATAGATTTGATCTCCATTTTTTTTATTTGAAAACTTCTGCAGTGCTCAGAGATTTTTCTTATGAGTCAAGTACTTGACTCAGAAAATAAAATGCAGATATGAAATAAGGCAGCTAAGAAATAAAATGCTTCAGTGAATTTCACCAGAAAAAGGAAGCTTTCTCTGATGTTACTTTAAATTTTACCTGAAAAAAAATACCAAGTAAAATAACCCACCTCCAAGGTGTGTTTTTACAAAACAAAATTGTGGGTCAATCTTTAACTGATGTTACTATTTTTCACCACCCAGTGTTAACAATGTCTTTTGAAGATCCTCAAAAATGCTTCAGTGAGTTTTACCATAAACATTTTTTTTTTGGTCTCCTTTGAACGTGAAGTGTTTATTGATGGTTATCTTCCTTGAGAGAAATGGAATCTTGACAGTCTTGTGATCATTTTCAACTCCCTAAATTGTCACTGAAAAATACAAATTGATCAAGTATTGATGAAATTCTGAGCTTCCAAATAGAACTTAAAACTCAAGTCATTATCTGAAGGTAAGAGCGGGTGCAAGTCATCCCACATCGCTTGGTCAATATTAGACACTACGCTTTATAAGTGGGGGCTTTGAGGTTCTGGAACATTGGCTCAGTATTAGCGGGTCGGGTTCGGGTTGACAATCTTCTGACCCGCCCATTCCAAGCAAGGAGTTGAACCATGTGGCTCGAGCGAAGGCTCTGGGTCTCTTGGTTCCTAGAGAGGAGGAAACCGCGTAAGGCTGGCTTCACAGAGCAACGATTACCTCCCGCTCTTGGCAGTGGAAGGATAACGGGTCGGTGTCACTCGGATCCACCATGGCCCGCTAGACTGTCCCAATTGGACCAAACCTTTTTGCGGTTTTCTTCCTCAGATTTGGGAAGCTACAATGCCAAAATCGAAGTCTGGTTTTTCTTTAATTTTTTGCCTGACTGGGGAACCCTGCTTCTGTTTTAGTTTCTTCTTTGAAATTATTAGGGTACAGCTTGTATCGATTAACCATTTGAGGTTTGGAAAAAAAAATGCTTTTGAAGTAAGAAAAAGGGAGTGTATATATCATTGTTTATATATTCATTTCATATCAGAAGTTGTATTTGTATACATTACTTGTATTGCTTTTCATGTTAAAAATTGAAAAGCTGATATGAATATATATATATATATATATATCTACTGGTTTAAGATGTTGAGAAGAGAGACTCTTGTTTTGATCAATTGCCTAAAAAGGCACTCAAGTCCTTCTTCTTGGTCTTGAATGCATGCCTCCAGCTTGTTAAGCTGGTTCTGCACATTATCGACATTTTGGTGTTGAGATTTGCTTGTCTTGTGTCCAATGAGGGAGTTCAATGCAGCATCCACTTGTGCAAACTCATTTGCTTCTGCTTCTTCCTCACAAGCAACTTTTTTTGATTGCATTATCTTGGAGACCAATGACCAGCTGCTTGTCTTTGATTTTGGCCCAGAGATGGAGGACAAAAGTGACTCCAACACTGCAAGAGTGACTGCTTCTACTTCTCTCAACTTCTCATGATCCTTGTTGACGGAAGAGAAAGCGAATTTGTTTGCTATTGCCTTCAAACTACCCACAGCCTTGTTGATTGTCTTTTTCACCATCTTCCTAGAGGTTAAGTATTTCCTTACCTCACTTGTAACAGCTGCAGTTTCAGCTCCTCGCCTTCTTCGCATGATTGATTGAAGATTCTGTGTGCATTCCTTGGTTTGCAGGATGACATCCTTGGCACTGCTGCAAACATCCAAGAGTCTGAGAGAGGCTTCTAATATATCATTAGCCCATTTCTCATTCTGCTCTTGGGCTAAGGCCTGTTGAGTGAGGGGCAACTGAAGCAACCTATCAACACAATCATGCAATTCTTGGAGGCCACTTAATTTGTGGCTTATTGATGATGATGAAGACGTGGAGGCGGCCTCAGAAGACCTCAAGCTACACAAATGTTCTTCAACTTCTTGAATGATTGGGTGTGGCCTTGAAGGGAAGCTGTTGGAGCGAGTATGAAAAGCCATTTCTTCTTTCTTTGTTGTTTGAAGATAGAACAAAAGACCTTGTAGTTGTGGTGGATGTCTAAGTCAGAACTGATATGCATCTGCTTAATATATAGTGTAGGTTGCGGAGGGGGACATGGAATCTCATCCACTACAATCATCAGTGAGAGGTAACATGATTTCGATGTGGATTTAGATGCTCCATCGGCAATGTTTATGCATTGTCTCTTCCCACACCAGCATTCCAACGCATGAACTGATTAATTTAGCATATAAAATCTCGGAGTTTCCTTACATAATGTTACAATCACTCAATCATAATTAACATATTGGACAGGGATCAATTAATTATATATGTGATAGCACGAGTGGACATGACCCCATGTCCAGCAGTTTTATATGCTTATTTATGTATGTGATTAGTTAATCTTATTTTGCAGGTCCTTGACATGATTGTTAAGCAAGCAGCAAGCCTGATCTATAATTTTAAGGCTTTCCAAATCATTGTATTGCATGAAGCAAGTAAGCCATATGATCATAGACTTAATCCCTTTTTTAGTCTCCAATTGTCCCCCTAACCGAGACAGTCAGCATATGTTTACTGCTGAAGTATGTGCGAATCAAGTCCTCCATTTCATGCCATTGATTGTTGATTATTTATTCTCTTTCTTGAGACAATTGGAATCTTGACAGCCTCGACATTTGATATAATTGGCTTAAATCCCATGTGTGACAATGATAGTTTTTGATACTCCTGTGAGTTTACCTCAGGTTTGACTTCGGGAAGTTAGAGTTAAATCAATTTTTCATCTTGTAATTAGACTAGGGTAAGGTTTTATTTATTTATTTATTTTTGGGTTCCATTAATTTCCAAGATTGATGCCAAAAACATAGATTATATGTGGTTATATAGAACATAAATGGTAAAATGTTTGTTGCTGTAGCTGCAAGAATTTATGATCTGTTCAGAAAACAAATGCTTTTGACGAAAGAAGAAGAATAGTTGACAATTAAGCAAATGAGTAAATCATTTTGTATAATCAATTTGATATCCAGAGGATGTATTTGTATACTCATGTATGTTTTTCATGTACAGAATCGAAAAAGCTAATATCTAGTGGTTTAAGATGTTGAGGAGGGAGACTCTTGTTTTGATGAACTGCCTAAAAAGGCACTCAAGTTGTTCTTCCTGATCTTGAATGCATGACTCCAGATTGTTGAGCTGGTTGTCTGCATTTTTGTGGTCAGATTTGCTTGTCTTAATGAATGATTGCAGAGCAGCATCCACTTGTGCAAATTCATTTGCTTCTGTTTCTTCCTCACAAGCTACTCTTTTGGTGTGAATAATCTTGGAAACCAATGACCAGCTGCTGCTTGGCTTTGACTTTGGGCCAGAGATGAAGGACAGGAGTGATTCGAACACTGAGAGAGTGACTGCCTCGACATCTCTCAATGTGCTAACAACGGCAATAGTCTCGTTGTCCTTGTTAAGGGATGAGAAACTGGATGCCTTGAGATTTCCCATAGCCTTGTGGATTGCCTTCTTCACCATCTTCCTAGAGGTCAAGTATTTCCTGAACTCAGTTGTGAGTGCTCCGGATTCACTTCCCCGCTTTCTTCGCATGATTGATTGAAGGTCCTGCGCGTATTCCTTGGTCTGCAACAGGGCATCCTTGGCACTGCTGCAAACATCCAAGATCCTCAGAGAGCCATCTAATAGCTCATTAGTTGATTTCTCATTCTGCTCTTGTGCCAAGGCTTGTTGAGTGAGGGGCAACTGAAGCAACCTATCAACACAACTATGCAATTCTTGAAGGCCAGTTAGTTTGTAGCTGATTGATGATGATGCGGAGGTGACCTCAGAAGACCTCAATCTGCACAAATGTTCGTCTACTTCTTGAACGATAGGGTGTGGCCTTGAAGGGAAGCTGTTAGAGCGAGTGTGGAAAGCCATTTCTTTTTTCTTTTTCGGTCTTGTGAGAGAGAGAATAGATGACCTTGAAAGAATAGGTTAAATGTACAATTCAAACTGATGTGTTCCTTCCCATCTGCATCTGCTTAATATATAGTGTTGGTTGAAGAAGGGGACATGGAATCTCATCCTCTTCAATCACCAGCCGGAGGTAACATGATTTCGATTTGGATCTATATGTTCCCTAGGCAATGTTTATGCAATGTCTCTTCCCACACCAGCATAACAACTCATTTGCATATAAAAATCTCAGAGTATATGCTGTTGCACGAGTGGCATTAACCTAATAACCCTGTGTCGACCAAAGGAAACCATGCATCCTTCCTAGCCATAGTGTTATATGATTTATTAAAGTCAATTATGCAGATCAGATTATTTTGCAGGTCCTTGATATGATTGCTGGGCAAGGAGGAGGCAAGATCTGCAACCTGTATTAATAAGTATTGTACAAAAATGGTATGTAACCGACTTGGTGATCTGGACTGTTTGTCTCCCAAACGAAACGAAAACTGGCAGAATTATCATTACTGGGTGTGAGATTTGAGTCTACCATTGGAGTAATAATTAACTAATTAGTCCCATTGATTTGTTAATGTTAATCTGTTTTTGATTGTTTCCCTGGATATAATTAGACATGAAAGCCCCCAATTAAGTGTTTAAACACTTGAGCTCTAAGAGTATTTGATTGAGTATCTGAGAAAGTATATAACAAATGTATATCTCATTCATGTACAAGAATGAGCCAAAATACTTTTGGGTGAATCATCAAACGCCTTGAAATTCTAGTTTTCAACATACTTTTGGATGAATCATCCGGTGCTAGTTGAATTTTCTAATCTAGTGGTCTGAGGATGTTGAGAAGGCGACCTCAATCATAAGTTCAGAGAGTCCTGTGAATTTGTTGAGGGTATCTTGGATGTTTGCAGCGCTGTGGTATTTCTAAAGGAAATTAAATAAATAAAAATGATTAAAACAGAAAATTCAATTAAAAAAAAAATAAAACTTGAAAAAGGAAAAAAGAGGAATTGGCTAAAAAGGTGGCGGTCTGGTCAAGAGCGGCGGACCTCTTCGGCCCAGTAAGTTCGGATAGCTCTGGATGCCGTCGAGTTCACCACTGCTGCTCTGATAAGCCAACATCCTTATGCCATCGTGGGCAAAGACGTCAACCGGGCAGCCTAAAGAGACTATAGGAGCCCAATCTAGTCCTTCTGGAAACATACGGCGAGCCTAGACTTGTGTATCTAAGGCACTAACCAAGAACATATTGGGCCGTAGGTTGTTTGTCCGTGTCTTAACAAGAACTTTCCACATTCCACCTTTAATGCCCCCACATTGGGTCACAAACCCACGTTACTAGGCTCGGCAAACTAAATTTTAGGAATTAACTATATTAAGTACTTAACAAGCATTATGTTTTTTCAATGTGGGATTTACTGTTTTTCAGATGGAAGGAGAAAAGGAATAAAACTATATCATGATGTCTTATGTTCACTGCTTCGCGAGAGTCAAATCCTCCTTAGAATGCAATTTGTTGTTGATTATTGACTATCTTCCTTGTGATATCTGATATCCTTTGCTTGCATATAAATCCATGTAATGTCAGTGTGATTGCTGTTAAATTTTCCTTTTCTTTGTAATTTTTCTTTAGTTTGGTTTCTGTTTGTTCAAGGCTTGGAACTATATGTTTTCTGCACTAATTAGCGCCTTGGATAGCATGTCAACTGGAATATTTACATCGCAAATATTGAAGGAATTCAGGATTACGATCGGCACCAAACTTTAATGCTATTTTAAGCAAGAAAAAAGAGTCGTAGCAATTATTTAAGCAAAAGAGTACATCATTATGTGTATAAATTTGAGATCAGAGGATATTTCTGTATACAAGTCCTTTTTCATGTACAAGTATGCGCCAAAATACTTTTGGATGAATCATCAAACGCCTTGGAATTCTGGTTTTCATTGTACTTTTGGATGAATCATCCGGTACTAGTTGAGTATTTTTTTTTCTAATCTAGTGGTTGAGGATGTTGAGAAGGCAAAACTCTGGTTTTCATCAAACGCCTTGAAAGGTGTTCAAGTAACACTCTTCTAGATCTTGTACGCGCAAGTCCAATATTAGGGGAGGCTCCCTTGAAATATTTGATAATTTGCTTGCAAAAATCCCACGTGACCTCAATCACAAGTTTAGAGAGTCCTGTGAATTTGTTGAGGGTATCAAACGTCAAGGATGAAAATTTTGCATTAATAACATTTCCACCGAGTACAAATTTCTTTCGGGTTGAACACTCACTTTCTAAAATATTGCATGAATGGTATTTCTTTCCCGTATTTTAAATACTTCATACTGTGCCAAATAAGTTACTGGGTGTTCTTTTAATGGTTTCGGTACCAACTGTTTATTAAAAAAGAAAAAAAAAAATTTGTAATTTTTTTTTAAAAAATCTTGGTCTCTATCTATCTGTTAGGAAGATGGTTTCTTGTATTATATCCCATATGATCTCAGTGCTTGCTTTGAACACTCACATTATAGCTGTTTAATTTTTGTTTTATTCTTTGTAATTTTTCTTAAGCTTGGTCTCTGTTTGTTCAAATCTTTGAACTCTTCTCTTAGGAAGATGTTTTCTGCCTTAATTGACGCCTTGGATAGCATGACAATTAGAACATTTACAACGCAAATAGTGCAATAAAGTTTCAGTAAATAGTGAAGGAATTCAGGATTAGGATCGGCACCAAATTGAATGCTATTTCAAGCGCAATTTAACCAAAATTGTATTAATTTGAGATCGGAGGATGTTTCTGTAACCAAAATTGTATTCAGCAAGCATGTGTTTATGTGAGGATCAAGTCCTCCTTTGAATGTAATCAACTGTTGATTATTGATTATCTTACTTGAGAGTGAGACAAACAGAATCTTGACAGCCTTGACATTTGGTATAATTTGCACAAATATCCCATGTGACCTCAATCATACATTGTTATAAATCCTGTGAAATACCACTCAGCCTTGTGTACGATTGAGAAATTACAGTTAATTCTTTTTCAAATTGTAATTGGAGAAAAAGAAGTTCTTTTGTGGATTAGTTTTTAAGACTAAGTAGAAAGTTATCTTCAGTACTCGCATTAATTAACCATACGAGCTTCGGAAAGGAATGCGTTTGAAAAAAGAGAAAAGATAAGTGGCAATTCAAGGGAAAAAGTATATCATTATGCATATGAATTTGATATCAGAGGATGTATTTGTATACACATGTATGTCTTTCATGTACAAAAATCGAAAAAGCTAATATACGTCTAGTGGTTTAGGATGTTGAGGAGGGAGACTCTTGTTTTGATCATTTGCCTAAATAGGCACTCAAGTCCTTGTTCTTGGTCTTGAATGAATGACTCCAGTTGGTCAAGTTGATTGTGGGCATCATCAGCACTAGGCTTGCTTGCCTTGTGTCTAATGAGTGAGTTCAACGCAGCATCCACCTCTGCAAATTCATTTATTTCTGTTGTTTCCTCACAAGCCACTTTCTTTGACTGCATCATCTTGGAGACTAGTGACCAGCTGCTGGGCTGTGATTTTGGCCCGGATATGAAGGAAAGAAGTGACTCAAACACTGTGAGGGTGATTGCTTCAACTTCTCTCAACTTGCTAACAACGGAAAATGTCTCATCATCCTTGTTGAGGGAAGAAAATGTGGATCTGTTTTTGGTTCCCTTGAGATTCTTCATAGCCTTTTGGATTGCCTTTTTCACCATCTTCCTAGAGGTTAAGTATTTCCTAACCTCACTTGTGAGACCAGTTTCACCTCCTCTCCTTCTTATGATCGATTGAAGATCCTGTACGCATTCCTTAGTTTGCAAGATGGCATCCTTGGCACTGCTAGAAACATCCAAGAGTCTGAGAGAGCCATCTAGTAGCTCATTAGCCCATTTCTCATTCTGCTCTTGTGCTAAGGCTTGCTGAGTGAGGGGCAACTGAAGCAACCTATCAACACAATCGTGCAAGTCTTGGAGGCCACTTAGTTTGTGGCTTATTGAAGATGAAGATGCAGAGGTGGACTCAGAGATTTCAATCTGCAAGAGTTCATCAACTTCTTGAAGGACCGGGTGTGGCCTAGAGGGGAAGCTGTTAGAGCGAGTGTGGAAAGCCATTTCTTGTTTGTGTGTTGTGAGAGGATAGAAGAGAAGACCTTGTAGTTAATGCACAATTGAGATTGATGTGTTCATTTCCATATGCATCTGCTTAATATATAGTGTTGGTTGAGGAAGGGGACAGGACATGGTATCGCGTCCACTGCAATCACCAGCCAGCAGTAACATGATTTCGATTTGGATGTATATTTTCCCTAGGCAATGTTTATACAATGTCTCTTCCCACACCAGCACAACAACTCATGAGCTGATTCATTTTGCATATAAAATCTCAAGGTCTGCTCAAAATCCCTATTAACAATTGGACATAAATATATATATTTTATATGTGATTGCACGAGCAGCATTGACTCTGTGTCTAATAATACGTGGTGAGGCAAAAACCATGCATCATAGCCATCCTTCTCATATGCTACAAACTCTATTATGCTGATTATGATTAATGTAAGTGATTAGTTAATTCATCTTAATTTCATGATTGTTGCTCTACGAGCAGGCAAGATCTGCAATATCCATTAATTTATGACCATGCATTGTGTTTCGATATTGTAGAAAAATGCTATGTAGCAGACTTGAAGAACTGGACTGTTCCCTAAACACCATGAAAACCAGCACAAATATTGTTATCGGGTGTGATATCTGAGTTTGCCATGTGAGTGTCATAAATTAATTAGCCCCAGGGATTGGTTATCTGTTTTTGAGTATTTTCCTGGAGATTATTAGACAAGGACAGATTCAAATTCCGTTCACCCTGTTTGCGGAACTTGTGAGTTTTATCAGCAAATGCTACAGGTTTTGAAGTTATTAAGTTTTATCAAAAAGAAAAAACCTGTAATTGAAGT